TATCTACATTTAGGGTGTGGTATATGGATGATAATCCTGCAAGAGAGACAGAGAAGGATTGAATATCTCTCTGTGTCTCACTCCTCCTAAACTATGAGGAGACAGCTAGGAAATGCAGTGGATAGAGCATTGGGCCTGGAGTCAGGAAGACCCAAGTTCAAATGCAGCCTCAGACACTTACTAGTTGTGTGACCCTTGCCAAGTCACTTAACCTTCCCCTCACTTTCACCTACCTCCCAGGGTTGTTGTGAGGATCAGATGAGGTAATGTTTGTAAAGCTATTTAATGGTACCCGCAGTGCACTACTTGTTAAGTGCTCCTAGGCACTTAATAAATCCTTGTTTCCTTCCTTCCTATTCTCATCTCCCTTCCTTCCCTCCCCAAACTTAACCCAACACTTAACCAGTTAAACTACACAGTGTCTTCAGCTATGGAATCTCTTGCCCCTTGTCCTCAATGCTATGCCTTTCAGAATGCCGTGCCTGGGTTAGCTCTATCATCTTAATTCTCCATCCCCACTCACATGCTGCTGGAGAGAGTCACCCAGCCATGCCAATTGGAAATCGAGACTTAGAGCACTCACAGAACTGTAACATGGTCACTTGGTTAATAAGGGGATCATAGGATCACAGATTTAGAACTGGAGGGCATCTTAGAGGCCATTGTCTAACACACACACGCACACACACACACACACACCAATTTTACAAATATAAGGATGCTGAAACATGGGCAGGCTAAATGACTTGTCCAGGGTCATACCTCTAGTAACCATATAAGGTGAGATTTGAATTCATGTCTTTCTGACTTCAAATACACACATGCATGCACACACACACATACATATACACATACGTGTATATATATATATATATAGTATATATACATAAAATATATTTTTTACTTTATGGAATAGAACAAGCATTTCCATTGCAATGTAATAAAAAAGGTTTAACTGTAAATCTACTATGCACAACTTGCTATTCCTTTCAAATATACAACAAAATCATCAAGTAAATTTTTCCTTTATTTTTCTCCCCTACCCCCACCCCCAGCCTAGAGATGGCTACCACTAGACACAAGTAGGTATATATACATATATACACACACACTTATGTATATATACATCTATGTGTGCATGTATGTGTATATACATACATATGTGTGTGTACATATGTAAAATTATTCTGTACATATGTCAATCAGTTATTTCTCTGGATACAGACAGATATTTATATATACACACTTGTGAGCACTCTGCACCTTCCCTTCCTTGGATTTAGCAGTACAATACTTTATCATCAACTTTATCCTGGCAAAGACTATGACTATGACTGTGATTCACAGTCAAAATTCAAAATTCACACTCCTGGATCAAATTCAAGCATCACTTTTCCATTTGCCAAGCCTCATCACCTATTTTTTTCTTTGGAAGGGAAAAATATTACTTTTCCAGGATTTTTTTATTTTTCTATCTTTCCCTCCGAAGATGTTGTCCTGGCAATAGGATCCCTGGCTGATTTTGAGCATCATGGAATTCAAAATATTGAGAAAAGTATTTTCCAAGTCTTGAATGGGTAGATCCCTAGCTACCAGTAAGTTGTAGATATGGAACCAAGGTTGTGAGTACTAGAGCTACAACAACTCCACCTTAATTTTCTCTTTGAGAAACAATAGTAGATTTCAATTCAGTACAATTCAAAAAAGCATTTACCAAGGGCTAAATATTGTGATAGCAAGAAGCAGGGGATAGAAAGACAAAAATGAGGGTCCCTGCCTTTAAGGTCTCCCATTCTGCTGGAAGGAAACAACATATACACAGATAAATAAACCCAAAATATACGCGAAATAAACACAAAGTAATTGGGAGGAAGGAAGAGTAATAGGGAGAAGCAGGAAGTTCTACTAGTATGTTCTCTGAAGCTCTGATTGTATTTCTGAAGAAAAAAATAATTATGGAGGTGCTAAATCAATAATGCCTTTGTAAGAGGGCCTTCTCCCTATCAGCCAGCATCATCCATGGATATGCAATAGAGTACATGCAGGTATTCTTTGCTGTTGACTGTGCATGGAAATTTGAAGGCCACAGTTCTAGCCATGCATGACTCATCTGCAGGAGTCACCTGATTTCTACTGAGTAAGAAGGACCAAAGCTCTTAAACCTTTTAAAAGGAGAGAAACTTTCCAGCTGGACTTCTTAGCTGTGGTTCTGCAAACTACAAGATGTGACTCTAGTATATGGTGGGGAAAAGATGGGGATATTTTTATCCATCCTGCTATCATGGCAATCTTTCCTATGTGAGAATGAGTGTCAGAGGCCTTACCTGGACCAGCCTGTACTAGGAACCCCTGGCTTCCCCCACCTTTTTTGTGTTTCCTTTCCTTTAGTGGGATGCTTTGTGATATTGAAAGGCCAAAAGATCTAAGCAGAGTAACAGAATGATGTGGTTGAGATTGAGGTTACAGCAGCAGCAAGAATAGGTTGGTACTGAGAAAGTGTTTGCATTAAATAATGAGGACAGTGGGACAAAGATGAAGCTTGGCTATTTTTTCAAACAATGCTCAGTGCATGGAGTGACATTTAAAATGCCTAATTAGCAGTTTTGCAAAAATTTCTTTATGACCTGATGGAATCTACCAGCCTTGCAGACAACTGTATCTATAGCTACAAGTTACTGAATCCTGTTTATATTGTTCTGTTCATGGGAGCCATTACTCTAAGTTAACATTG